GGTTCAGGTTTGTTTTTTTGAACCCTGGGGTTTAGGGTTTAGGGTTTAGGGTTCAGGGTTTAGGGTTCAGGTTTGTTTTTTGAAGCCTAGGATTTAGGGTTTAGGGTGCAGGGTTTAGGGTTCAGGTTTGTTTTTTTGAACCCTAGGGTTTAGGGTTTAGGGTTCAGGGTTTAGGGTTTTGGGTGTAGGGCCTCCTATGGACCCAAACTAGTAGCACCTGGCTGCGAGGACCGCCAAAAGGGGTACCTCCTTTTAAGAAAGAGGTCCTTAGCGCCCAAACAATCATGTAGGGGCCTTAATAATTATCACGGGCTTTCGGGGTATACTATACTATACTTACAGTGAGGAACCCCCCAAACCCTATTCGAATTATTAAGGCTCCCCATATTATACCTTAAACCCTGTGCCCTTCTGTTCGAAGCCAGCCACCCAATTAGGTTTAGGGCTTAGGGTTTAGGGTTTGGGGTTTAGGGTCCTACAGATCATATGTAATAACACGCCGAACATATCTTAGGCTATGCTCGCTGCTCTTCTAAGGCGAGCCCGGCCGACACTCTCGACAAGCCATCCCTAGAAACGCAAAATGTAGGGGCCTTAATAATTAGAATGGGGTTTCTTAATTCCTTTATAGGGCTCCTTCAAGGGGCTCTATATGGGCTACTATAAGGGTTCTATAAGACAAGGGCCTTAATCATTAGAATAGGGTTTTGGGGTGTATATTACGCTATAATTATAATAAGTCTTCCCAAAATAGCATAGGCAATTATTTAGGCCCCTATATTAAACTCCATACCAAGGGCGCGACTCCGGCGTGAAGCAGCCGCAACAGGTCGGGGCACGCTGGCACACGATCTGGCGGCGGAAGATCAAAGATGGAGGTTTAGGGTTTAGGGTTTAGGGTTTAGGGTTTAGGGGGCGGGGGATGAGGGATCAGGGGTCTGTGGTTTAGGTTTTGGGATGAACCAAGACTTACTCAGTAGCCCTGCCCTAGAATCCCTAGAACTGATGCCTTTTTTTGCGGACTTGCAAGGTCTCAGAGTATGGGAGACATTTATCCAGATCTTCGCACGGAAGTTAAGCCGCATCGTGTGGCCAGAACAGCAGTTGTCATACCCTCTGGGCATCCGGAGAAGACAGCAGCATGAAGCAACCCCCGGCCGCATCTTCTCCCGCTTCGTAATTCAGGAATTCACGTTTACGGCGGAGCCTTCAACCCGAAACCCAAGACACGAAACCCTAAATCCTAAACCCTGAACCCGAAGACCGATCCAGCTCAAGGTTTAGAGTGCAGGGCCCGAGCTAAGCCTCCAAGTGCTCACTGGCTGATGACACGGTCATGGCATACTTTGCCGCCTGGCACAGGTCGCGCAAGCTTAGGCTTCCGGCGGTTCAGGGTTTAGGGTGTAGAGGGTTTGGGTTTTGGTTCAGACTTAGCAAGCTAGCTTGCCTTGAAGGCAGGAGTTCAGCAATCTAGGAAGACAAGTACCGATGATAGCCCGACCGTTTACATGGCATGGGCTTCGAAGTACAAAACCAAGCAACCGACTTGACTGCATTCACTGTGTGCGGGCTACACACCACCACGACAACAAACCACTACCACGACCGAGACCACGACTACTGCTACTGCTCCCGCATCTGCGACTGCTGCTGCGACTCTACCACCGCCACTATCACGAACTCAAATATCAGAAGCGGCTCCGATCCTGAGACTCAACCACGGTCCATGAACCTAAACCCTAAACCACGTGTCCCCGAAACGGGCGGAAGCTGCCACGAAGGAGAAGAGAAGGGCCCCAACATCGCCCACGACCTCAGAATTGTTTACTTCCGGGGATTCGGGGCCCTGGAAGGAAACCCTGAAGACCCTAAACCCTTAAAACCCCCCATAAACCCTAAACCCTCAATGGGTTTAGGGTTTAAGGTTTAGGGTTTAGGGCTTAGGGTACCCTTAACCCTTAAACCCTAAACCCTTACACCCTAAACCCTAAACCCAAAGCCCTTAAAACCCTCAGGTGGGGGGGGTATCTTTGGGTGCAGACTTTCGCATGTCAAAGCTTAAGGAAGCTTTTGGGGTCCGCCTCCAGGTTGCGACACATTTAAGGCATTTAGGGTTTGGGGTTTAGGATTTA